AGTTTTTGTATGATTTGACGTCAACTTAGCCTCCACGATTCACCTTTAACCTACAACTTCTAAGTGGTGCTGTCCAGTAGGTCAGGGGGTTTCATTCTCTCTGTGGAAATGAGCAGCTTTGACCAAGGTCTCATGCTGTTGTCTCCATGGAAACGTGCATCGCCAGACTCGCCTCCCATGTTCACTGGCATCTCCATGGAAACAAGCTCTCCCTGACCAGCTTTTCACACTTCTGTATCTCCACAGGAACAAGATTCTGTGAGCATCTACTTGCATCACCCCTTGCCATCAAAAATTGCTGTCCATGAAAGACTAGGCAACTAAAAAAGCAAATCCGTGTGACCATTCTCTATGTACTGGCAGTGAAGAGCTGTTGTTCCTCAGACAGTGCACAGTGAGGACACCAGTGACATTAATTCACAGTGACTACTTTTACTGTGGATTTTTATTTCTGAGCATATCAAACATTAACATGATAGCCACAGAGAGGTAAAGTGGATGGGTTCCTGGTGTTATGTTTTTCCATGGGTTGAACTGTAGTGTGGAAGCCAGGCCTCTGCGCTAGATTATCATGAGGTCATAACAAATAGAAGCAGGAGGTCATTTCAGTCCCATTGGGCTTCCTGTGCTGTCCAAGAATATCATGGCTGTTTGGACTGTGGCCTTAACAGCACTTTCTTACCTATCTCCTACAATCCTCAACTCCCTCATCAATTAAAAATCTGTCTAACTCAGCCTCGAATAGATGTAATGAACCAGTCTGCTCTGCTCTCTGTACAACAAAACTGCAAAGGCTAATCCTTTCAGTGAAGAAATTCTTTCGTGTCTCAATCCTAAATGGGAGACCCCATTAAATTGTTAAATTTTAATTATATTTTATTAAAATTATTAAATTGTGTCCCTTAGTTCTGTGAGCCCCATGAGGGGAAACATCCTCTCAGTTTCCACCGTCACAAGTTTAAGTAAGAAGGCCTCTGCTTGGACTGTGGGACCAGTGTGCTGAAACTATCCTCACAGTCATCAAGCGGTACGAAGAGAGAGGGAGTATGGTGCTGACATAGAGAATCAGCCTTGATATAAATGAATGGCAGAGCAGGTTTAAAGGGCTGAATGACCTACTCCTAATTTCCACCTTTCTATAAGACAACATTGCAATAACAGTAGCAAGGTCAGAGACTGAGAGTGAGTTTCCCACTCCTCCACCCACATTGCTGTGTATTGGGAGATTTTACCTTATCCATCTGGCAGGGATTTGAATCCAGACTTCAGTAATGAAAGCTTTGTGCAATAAACACAGCTGAACCAACCAGTTTGTACAGTATTAATTTGGCACACCAAGGGGCCAATTTTATCACTGCCACAAATTCCAAATCCATCCCAGTGAGAATCATGTGAGTGGTGTGCTAAAGTAACGGAGGACTTGTGGGGTTGGGGGGGGTAGCAGGCAGAGGGAAGCTGGCGCTCACGCTGTTGCCTCTGTGCGTTTCTGCCACTCGCTATTTTTGCTTCCCTGAATTCAGGCACGGAATGGAACCTCATTTAAAGATGTGAGGTCCATTGAGACATGCATCCCATTTTAACTACAGGCTTAATTAAAACCTGTACAGTTTCTGAACTGCCAATATAAGTTTGCAATGACAAAGACCTTAGCTCCAGGAAGTCCAAGTACCATTTAAGTTTTTTCTCGTTTAAGAAAAAGGAGAGGCTGCCCCTGGTTTCACTAGGTCCCCTTCAGTCTCCCTACCCAAACCCCTCCCACACAGTGCCTCCGTTGCAAATTTGTTAAACCCCAGATCACCCCAAAAGCTACATTATCACACTACGGGCCATTTCCATGGGTCCCTAGTGGCAACAGATGCACCAGTTTTGACAACATTCTCCTCAGCTTCAGTTTGGAGTGATGATGATAGAGGGTCCATATTCTTTCTATCCATATAGCTGACCAGGAATCCCTCCAGTTTTTACTAATGGCAAGCGTTGGAAGGATTGATACTCAACCTACTTAGGTGTTATGAACAGAACCTCCTTGACTATTAAGTCTTTGAGTGGGACCAGAACCTCGCATTTCAGGCTCAGAGGCAGGGACACTGTCACTGCTCCATAACAATTTCTTGATCATTACACATAAGGACGGAGAAAAAGAGGAAATCTTTTCTTATATTTGTTCGGTAGTACAAAACTTGAGTATTGCTGATAAAAGGTACATTTTGTTGAAGCTTTTTCTCCTCCACTAATCTGGACAAGGCATAAGAAATACCAATACTAAATTGATTGGCAATTGGACCCTGACTGATGGATGCATTACCATAGAGAATGCATGTTAACAATGACTGACAGTTAACTGCTGAGCACTGATTAAATTTTAAACAAGACAGGTTGACTCTGATTTGTCAAGGCTCTGAGAAACAAAGCAGAGAAAGACTGACATCTATTGTGTTGAACAGCGTCAATGTATTATATCACTGTATATCATGCAAACTGATTAACCATAAAACCATAACATACAGGGGCAGAATTAGCTTATTCGGACCATCTGGCATGCTCTGCCATTCGCTCACTGCAGATATATTTCTCGACCCCATTCTCCTGCCTTCGCCCCGTAACCCTTGATTCCCTTAACCAATCTATGTACCTCTGTCTTAAATACACTCAATGACTTGGCCTCCACAGCCCTCTTTTGCACAGATTAACCACCCTCTGGCAGAAGAAATTCCTCCTCATCTCAGTCCGTAAGGGTTGTCCCTTCTCTCCGAGGCTATGCCCTCGGATCTTAGTCTCTCCCGCTAGTGGAAGCATCTTATTCCCCCTTATCCTTCTAAACTCCATCAAATACATACCCAGAATCCTCAGCCCTTCCTCACACGACAAGCCCTTTATTCCTGAGATAATTCTCGTAAACCTCTTCTGGACTCCCTTCAATGCCCAAAACTGTTCACAATATTCCAAATGCAGTCTGACCAGAGCCTTATACAGCCTCAGCAGTACATTTCTGCTCTTGTATTCTAGCCCTCTTGAAATGAATGCTAACAACTCATTTGCCTTCTTAGCTGCCAAATGAACGTGCATGTTAACTTTAAAATCCTGAACTAGGATTCCCAAATCCCTGTGCTTCAGATTTTTGAAGCCTTTCCCCATTCATAAAATAAGTTACACTTCTATTCTTCCCACCAAAGGGCAAAGCCCTGCACTTTCCCACATTGTGTTCCATCTGCCATTTCTTTGCCCACTCTCTTTATCCTGCCCATATCCTGCAGCCTCCCTGCCTCCTCAAAACTACCTGTTCTTCCAGTGATCCTTGTATCATCTGCAAACTTAGCAAAGAATGCCCTCAGTTCCTTTGTCCAGATCGTTAATGTACAATGTTAATATTTGTGGTCCCAACACTGCCTCCTGCAGAACTTCACTAGTCACTGGCTACCATATTGAAAAACATCCCTTTATCCTCACATTCTGCATTCTGGGAGTCAGCCAACCCGCACCATATCTTGTCCCTAACACCTTGGGCTCTTATCTTATTTAGCAGCCTCCTGTGAGACATCTTGTCAAATGCATTCTGGAAATCCAAACCGATCACATCCACTGGCTCTCCTTTGTCTAACTTGCTTGTTACCTCCTCAAAGAATTACACAAGATTTGTCATGCATGACATCCCTTTGACATAGCCATCCTGACTCTGTCCTGTTTTAACATGTACTCCTAAGTACTCTTCAATCTCATCTTTAATAATGGACTCTAAAATCTTACTGACGACCAAGGTCAGGCTAACTGGCCTATAACTTCCTATCTTCTGCCCCCCTCCATTCACCTGATAAAGGGGCTATGCTCCGAAAGCTTGTGTTTTCAAATAAGCCTGCTGGACTACAACCTGGTGTCATGTGAATTCTGACCTTGTCCAACCCTGTCCAACCCTGTCCAACACCAGCACCTCCACATCATCCCTCCCTTTTTAAACAGGGGTGCTAACATTAGCCATTGTCCAATCCTTTGGGACTCTCCCTGACTCCAGTGATTCCTGAAAGATCACCACCAATGCCTCTACGATCTCCTCAGCTTCTTCAGAACCACGATGTGTAGTCCATCCAGTCCAGGCATATATCCAACTTCAGTCCTTGCAGTTTCCCTAGCACCTTTTCCTTAGTGATGGCCAGTGCACTCACCCCTGCCCCTGAGTCTGTTGAAGTTCTGGCATGCTGCTGGTGTCTTCCACTGTGAAAACTGATGCAAAGCACGTATTCAGTTCCTCCACCATTTCTTCATTCCACATGGCCACTTCTCCAGCTTTATTTTCCAGCAGTCCAATGTCAACTAAGGCCACTTCACCTGACAAAGCAGTAGCATTCCGAAAACTCGTGATTTCAAATAAATCTGTTGGGACTGTAAACTGGTGTCGTGTGTCTTCCGACTTTACCTACACCTGTGTACCCAATGTACTTCAGATTACTCGAAATAGTATGGTATTTTCAAAGCTTGAGCAACAGGTGAAGCTAGTTATTTCACACAGCTACTATGCAGCAGAAACAGGAGCCGTGTTCATCACTCACAAAATGCTACCATTAAACAAAAGAGACATTCTGCTCATCATCCAAATTACTAACGTAGCACATGACAGTATCTAAAATTAGGCTGTTCATTTCACAATTGGACAACATATGTTAATCCTCGAGTATGCAAAGAATTAAATAAGCAACCAATTTAATGTTATCAGGGAAATGCCTTGACCTATCAGTGTCAACCTGTCTAGTTTAAAATTTAAATAAATTTTGGAAGTTAACTGTCAGTCATTACTAACTGAAACACTGTCCATAGTAATGCCTCTATAAACCACAGTCTAACGGACAACTAATCAGCCCTCTCCTCTCATACAGTATAAATGTGGATTTCTCTTTACATTAGTACTTCTTGCGAATTGTCCTGATGAAAAGCTTTGAAACGTCGTGTCTTTTTCCAACAAGACTTAAATCTTTCCCTTTTGTGACAGAAACAAAAAGTAACAGGGCAGATTTTCTTCTTTGTTTTATTTCAGTGTTTCCTCTCCAGTCATAGCAACAGCATAAAGACTCTGTGCCAGATCAAATAATTCATTTATTCTTGGATATGGATTGAAAATCGATGAATCAAACATAAAATAAATAGAAGGTGATAAATCCCAGTGTGGGTTTCTTTTCTGAACTGGCACTTTTGATTCATTCGAAGTTTTAAAAAATATTTTTAGCTTATCTACACCAGTTGAAAGCTTCACATATTTGTCATGACTTTGCAGTGAACCTGTTTAAACCTTAATTGACAGCTAAGAGAGCAGTTCATTTTTCTTATCTTTGGATTTTGCCATCACCTTGGACTTCCTCCTATCGGGCCTCCTACACCTCTCATCAATGCTAGGTATGCACTCGAGGTGCCACACTTGATCATTCCTGGCCCGTGGGTAAACTGCTTCCACGTAATGGCGAATGAGCTTCAAGCGGATCGGATCCAACTGCTTCTTGTTACACGCGCCCGAATGGTTGTACTGTAGCCTGAGGTTTTCAGGAGTAAACAACTCTGGGAAGATCCTGACGAGAAGTCGGGCAGCAAAATTCCCAATTGACAGGCTGTCCTGCACGACTTCCTTCAATTCTTTAGCAGAAAGCAGATGTTTGCTCGGGACTGGGAAATCAAGAGCGGGCATGCTGAGTTCATCAAGTGCTACTTTACAGAAGTTCCTGTGGTACCGGTCGGTTCTCTCCGGGGCCAGCAGTATCGCTTCTTTCCTGACTTGCTCTGGCTGCACCGATGTTGTGGGTTCTTCCTTCTCAGTGCCAAAGATGGTCTTCTTTCTCTGTTGTTGATAAACGCGCCTTTGCTCTGTGTCCCTGCGGCGGCACCTCTCGTCTAGCTTTGAAACAAATTCTTGATTCCACACCTTATCACACTTGGCTCGGGGATACATCAGCTGCACGTAATGCCTGATGAGTTTTATACGGACTGGGTCCAGCTGCTTTTTGCCGAGGGAGCCGCTGCAATTATACTGCTTTCGCAAGTTATCTGGTGTAAAGAGCTCAGGGAACAACCTCACCAACAACCGGGAGGCAAAGTTTCCAATAGATAAGCTGCTCTCGTATATGTTTTTTAGCTGCTGCTTGCTGAGCACGTAGTCTGGGCAAGGGACCTCAAAGTCTGGAAGGGGTACAACGATGCTGTTGAAATCGACGGGCATTAGCCAGATCTTTTTGGACTTCTGAATAGATTTATCGAAGTCGCAGCCGTCGCTGCTCCCAACTGTGGAGATGTTAGGGGAACGGTGACTCTCATTCCTGAAAATTTCAGATTCGCTGCCATCAGAATTCGCGAGCTCTTCGTCCATCTTGTGGACAACCTGTTGCAGCCAAACCTTGTCCTCTTGCACCTCGGGGAAGTAGATCTCCACATACCTCCGGACAATCTGCAGCCGCTGTGGATCAAGCATCTGCTTTACAGATGAACCAGAACAGCTGGACTGTGAGGCCAAACCCCTTCCATCAAAGAGCTCTGGAAACAGTCTGTGTGCCAGCAAAACGGCAAATTCTCCAGGAGACGAAGCTTCGTCCAAATACTCACTTATCTCCTGGGGTTCCAAAACCAAGTTCGAGCTTATACTGCTGGAGGAATCAAAGGACAATCGCTCATCTTGCGTGCTGTTGTCGACGTAGCAGTTAGGCTGTGGCTGCTCTGCACCGTGGTCTGACTCATAAAAGCCAATCACCTTGGCGCTTTGTTGACTGCTCTCCATTTCTTTCTGCGCCCAAAACCGGTTAAAAAAGTCACTTATCTGTGGCAAGCATTCAACCTGCCAGACATCACCATTTCGGGCTGAAGGATAGCAGACCTCAATGTAGTTCCTGATCAGCTGGAGATGGAGTGAGCCCAGCTTCTTCTCAGGCATGGAGCCACATGCATTGCAACCCCTGCTGACCTCATCTTCGGTGAAGAGCTCTGGAAAAAGCTGCACCAGCAGTCGACAGGCAAAGTCTCCCGGAGAGGAGCTCTCTTCCAGGACCTGCTTGAGTTCGGCGTTGTTGAGCTGGTACTCTGCAGGGGGCAGGAACTCCACCATTGATTCGCCGGGGTTCACGTGCTTTTTAATTCTGTTCACCTCCAGTGACAGCAAGTCGATTTTGCTGTGCAGTTGGGTCATAGTCGAGTTCAACGTATTGAGAGTGAAAAACATTTTATGGATCAGCGAGTACAGAGTTGAATCAACATCAGCCCCATGGGCTGGCAAGACGGAAGAGTAATTCTTGCAGGTGTCAGTGAGGTTTCGCTGTTGTAACAGAGTGTTGAGGTAACCTCTTTCTGAAGCCTCGCCTGCTGCTTGCTGGTCCACAGCCTGAATATTCCGTCGATCAGAGATTTTGTGTGAGATGCTATACAGTGGTTTCCTGTACGATGGCACGTCCTGAGGAGCATCTTTACTTTCCATCAACACATCCGTATTGGCCTCCTCAACTTTACATGCATCATCTAAGTTTCTCTGGGAAGGTACTGAAGACTCTGAGCCATTTAGACTTGCAAACCTGTCCTTAAAAGACAAAGTGCAACATTTTCAGTGAAAATTGCACCAGAAGAAAGAAAGTGCATCTGCTCTCCATAAGCTTTACACCATTTTTGTAACACACACCAATAACAAATATTCCTCTACATTTTTGTACTTACTTTGTTTAAATGATATCCAGTTTGAATAAAGAGACAACAAGGTGTAGAGCTGGATGAACACAGCAGGCCAAGTTGCATCAGAGGAGCAGGAAAGCTGACGTTTCGGGTCTAGACCCTTTTCTGAAGAACGGTCTAGACCCGAAATGTCAGCTTTCCTGCTCCTCTGATGCAACTTGGCCTGCTGTGTTCATCCAGCTCTACACCTTGTTGTCTCAGATTCTCCATGATCGGCAGTTCCTACTATGTCTGTTCCAATTTGAATAAGACCAATAAATGAATAACAATCCAGCTACACTATCACAAAGAGGAGAAGAACTGTGTAGTTCATACGGTCTTCTTTCAGATAACTTTATCAAACATGTACTCTATTGAGGCTAAGACAGAACAGAGGAAGTTTATCTCTGTGTCTAGCTGTACGTGACCTATAAATGCTGAAACTGGAAGAATTCCCTTTCCCAAAATGAACATTATCAACCTGATAAGAAGAAAATTAAGAATATATTTTACTGAGCTTTTCTTTCTAATAAAAATGAAATCCTTTTGTTTTTCAAGAGATGCAAGCTTCAAGTTTGTTGCATGCCTCTAACTGGTGAGCTACTTTCTTGAACTATGTACTGTAGTCCATATGCTGTAGGTACATGCATGGTGCTGTTAAGGAGGCAGTTCTAGGACTTGAACCCAGAAATGATGAAGCTATAGTGACATATTTCCACGTCAGGGTGGAATATGACTGTCAAAACTATCCTGACTTGGAGTTAAACTTGAAGTGAAGATTTCCTTGTACCTGCTTTTCCTGTCCTGCCTCACAACACCAGGGACCTGGGTTCAATTCCACCCTCGGGCGACTGTCTGTGTGGAGTTTGCATATTCTCCGTGTCTGCGTGGATTTCCCCTGGGTGCTCCAATTTCCTCCCACGGTCCAAAAACGTGCAGGTTAGCAAGACTGGCCATGCTAAATTATCTGTAGAATCCAGGAATGTGCAAGCTAGGTGGATTAGCCATGGGAAATGCAGGGTTACAGGGGTAAGGTAGGGGGTGTGTCTGGGTGGGATGCTCTTTGGAGGGTTGGTGTGGACCCGATGGGCTGAATGGCCAGTTTCCACACTGTAGGGATTCTATGATTCTTCTTTGATTTTAGCTGGTACAGGTTAAGGCTTGGAAGGTGCTATTGAGGGAGCCCCGTTGCAGTGCACCTTGTTGATGGTATATATTGCTGCTGCTCTGCATTACTGGTGCAGGGTGTGAATGTTGAAAGTGCTGTATAAGATGTCATTCAAGAGGGTTGCATTGCCCTTGATCGTGTTGAGCTCCTTGAGTATTATTGAGGTTACCCTCACCCAGCAGGCAGAGAGTATTCCATCACACTCCTGACTTTTGCCTTATTGACAGTGGATGGGCAAAACAGATTCTAGTTCATAGGGCACCAGGAACAGTAGAGGAGAGTGTAGGATCTGTACTTTAGGGACAGTCTACATCTGAATTGTGCTGTGGCTGGTTTTCTAGCAAGCAGACAAGATTTTAAATTTTACAGACAGGATAAGAAAGAAAGGTATTAATATGGGAAATGAGATACAAGGCTGTGGCAGGAAAGGCTAGAGAATACAAGGCTTAGAGGAAACTAACAAATAAGGCCAGAGGTTACAAAAATCACAAAAGGACAAAACTAAGGGCTCTGTTTCTGAATACATGCAGCTTTTGCTACGAACCAGATAAACTGATAATGTATCTAGAAAGAAATATGTACAGATCTGCTAACCATTGCAGAGACAAAACTGCAGGATAACATAGATTGGGACCTGAATCCTGAAGGATACATGATATTTAGGATGGACAGGAATCTAGCAACAGATGGTGGGTTGGCTCTATTAATTAATTAAGGATGGTATTAGAACAACCAAAAGGAATGACCTAAGTTCTGGAAAGCAAGATGCAGAAGTGATTTGGGTAGAGATGAGAAAGGATAAAGACAAGTAACTCGTAGGAGAAATAAAAATGGGGAGGACTGACCATCATGGTTAAAGTTTAAAGTTAAGTTAAAGATAGTATCAAACTTTAAAAAGAAGCATATAATTGTGCAAAAGTTGAGGTCAGAATATTGTTCAGAATATAAAAATAACAAAGATTGACTAAAAATGTATTGAGGGAAAAATCACAAGATAAAGCTAGCTAGAAGTACAAAAACAGAGTACCTGTGTCCATAGATATGTAAAAGGGAAAAGCATTAACAAAGGGAATGTTGGTCCTATGGAAAATGAAAACTAATATGGAAAATTAATTATGGGAAATTAATAATGGAAAATAAGGAGATGGCAAATGAATTGAACAGGTATTTTTGCATTGACATTCAGTATGGAGGATACAAGTAACATCCCAGAAAAAGCTATAAGTGGAAGGGAGGGAGAAATTTAGTAAAATTTATTAGGAAGGTGAGCAAGTGTTGCAGCAGCAGGTTGACAAGTCATTGAGTCCTGAAGGACTTCATGCCAGGCTCTTTAAGAAGTGGCCACTGAGATAGATGATGCATTGCTTTAATATTCCAAAATTCCTTACATCTGGGAAAGATTCCATTTGAATGGACAAGAGCAAATGCATCTCTGTTATTCAAAAATGTTTAGTGTCAAATGTTATGTGCATTCAGAGACAGAAAGCTGGAAACTAAGTCCAACTTGACTTTCTACAATTATATAAACAATTTGAAATAAGGGCCCAAAAGTATGGTTGCTAAGTGTGATGATGACACAAAGATGGTTTGGGAAGTCACTTATGAAGAGGACATAATAAGGCTACAAAGAAGTATGGATATGTTAAGTGAATGTGCAAAGATGTGGCAAATGGTGTATAATGTTGGAAAATGCCAAATTGTCCAATTTGGTAGGAAAAGTTAAAATACATCTTATTTATATAGAATGATCTTGCTTATTATGAGAGGAAATGAATACAAATGCATACAGGTTATGCTTCAACTATACAGGATATTGTCAAGACCACATCTTCAGCACTGTGTACAGTGATGGTCTCCTTAATAACGGAAGGATGTAAATGTATTAGAATCAATTCAGAGAATGTTTACTGGACCAATACCTGGAATGAGTGGGTTGTCTTACATGGGAAGATTGGACCAACCAAGCTAATATCCTTCGGATTTTAGAAAAGAATGAGGTGGTTTGCTTGAAACATATAATATTCTAATGGGGCTTGATCGGGTGGATGTAGAGACAGTGTTTCCTCTTTGGGAGAATGGATATCTGGGAGTTACTGTTTAAAAATAAGGCAACATCCGTTTAAGACAAAGAGGAGAAACTCTTACTCTCAGACACTCTTCCGCAAAAGATAACAACTTTTGAATATTTTTAACACAGAGGTAGATAGATTCTTGATGAACAAGGGGGCGAAAGGTTATTGCACATCAGTGGGAATGTGGAATAATCAGATCAGCCTTGATCTTATTGAATGGCAAAGCAGGCTGGAGGAGTCATGTGGACTACCCCACACCTAATTTGGATGTTCATAATGTGGAAAATATCCGCACGGTCAGGATGTGGATTATTTGCTGCAGGATTCGCAGCTTCTGACCAAATTTTGTAACCACGTTATATACAAGGCTGGTCCAGTCACATTTCTGATCAATGGTGATACCTAGGATGTTGATGGAGGAGAATTTGGTGCTGTTAATGCCATTTAAAATCAAAAAGAGGTGGTTAGGCTCTCTGTTATTGGAGGTATTGATCAATATTTATCAATTAAAAACCTCTAACCGATTAAAGATTTAACAGCATCTTAGGTTTGTTTAATACATCCTCATCAGTTGTGTGACCTTTAGATCTTTGACTTATAAGTTCTGCATCTGATATCACTTCTCTCACTAACACCTGAAGAAGGGGTGAGGCTCTGAAAGCTTGTGATTTTAAATAAACCTGTTGGGCTATAACCTGGTGTTATGTGATTTTTGACCTTGCCCACCTCAGTCCAACACCAGCACCTCCACATTATTGGAGGTAGCCACTGCCTGGTACTTGTGTTGCAGGAATATTACCTGCCGTTTAACAGGCTCTCCCTACCTTTTTGCATTTATACATTGATGATATGCAAATCCACCAACGAAGCAATCTGTCCAACTATTGCTGTTTTCAGCCAGTTACCAACAGTGGCCCATGAAAGAGCTGGGTTGGTCCAGTTCCAGTTTTAGCAATAAACTTTCTTCCATTAAATGGCAACAACCAACTGAGATCAAGAACCTAGTCAAAAGAGGAATCAAACTCATATCTTGCCACAGTACACTGAAGTGTATCAATATGCTAAAGTGTAGTGCTCTGCCCCAGTGGTTATAAATAAAAGCACATTAAAATATACGACGTAGATATCAATGAAATGTAACTGTGTGTTTCTTTGTAATAAAGGCATTATTCCAAAGAAAGGCAAAAAGATTTGTGTACAGTTAGAATATACTGCAGAAATATTTACCTCACAGATAATTCTCCTCCTTTTATGGATGATGGGATTCTCACATTCTGGAGTCATCTTACCAGAACCATTCTGTAACGGTTTTCGTTTTGCTGTATCCTGTACACAGTTAGGCCCTGCAGCTTGATCTGGACTGGAGCTACCCACATCATCTTCAGTGCTAATTTCTGATTTGACCTTGCCAATATTAACTTTTGTCACTGCAAGGGGAGAGGAAAACAAAAAGCTGGCAAGTTATTTTTTTTTATCCACAGTATGATAATAGCATTAGTGAACATATTAATTAACACATGGATTAATTATTATTATTATTAATCGTTAATATTAGTTAGCAGTGGTTCAAGAAGATAACTCACACAACTCTCTGAAGGGCAACTAGGGAGGGGTAATAATATAGGCCCAGCTAGTGACACCCATATTCTATGAATGACTTAAAAAAACTAATTTCTAAGTTCACGCTTTATCTGGACCCCAAGCTTTATTGTGCATTACACTTTTCCAACAAACAAAACTGTAGCTGACTTGGACATCAGAGTTACAGCTGGATGATACTCAAAATAATTTCAGTGCCTTAGATATCCACAATTGGATGCAACAGAAAAGCATGAACCTTGATTTCAAAATGTATTAAGTTTATACAAACCCAATTTGGCGAATAACTTAAAACTTATAAATGGCCATGCTTGTGAGAGTATGGAGAGGTCTACATTCATGCAGGTCAAAATCCATAGAATATTCCAATCAGTATATCTCAGACAGTAACTGGAGAAGCCGTGATACCATACAAATTCTTTCAAAATTGCCCTTGATTCCAATCAATACAGATTAATGTATTACATCTCCAGAAGGTGCAAATTGCAGCCAGACCTAGATGATGTATTCACTTTGGGAAATATCCCTCTCCAGCATCTCAACCTAATCATTTAATGTGTAGAAAACAAGGTTATTTCTATTCTGCTTCTCAAAGCCTAAGAGTTGATTTTGGACTCCGGGAAGCAGATCTGCAATGTGCCTTTTTTAGATGATGGAAGCAGAATTTCATATTTTAAGAGCCTTATTTACAGATATGACAACTGAATGGTGAAATGCCCACAAGCTGGTACCGTGCCAAGCAGAGCAAAAAGGATTTCAACTGCCATTGCTACCTCTGCCTAGTTGACTGATCTTAGCTGGAATGGCACTTTGTGCACTACTAGGTTGTTCCTAGGAGCTGATGGAAATGTCAGGTGGCAGAAATCTACCGTCATTGAGCCTGAGGCCTGTCAGTGGGAGTGGGAGGAAGCAGGGACCAGCTGTTGTTTGTTTCTTTGATTTATTGTTGTCACATATACCAAGATAAAGTGAAATGTGTTGTCAGGCTGAGAGTGGGATTTGAACCTGGTCCCCAGGGCATTATATGGATCTCTGGAATACTAGTAATAGTGGCAATACCACTATGCCATTGCCTTTCCCAGGGAGAGGTTATCCTGAAGACATTGAAGCAGATAGTCAAGAGGGTGGCCAGTATGTATACAAACGTATTAATCTGGAGCAGGACTAGATTATTTGGTAATGCTGATGTGATGATAACCATAACTCTACACTCATGCCTACCCCTGATAACCTTCCAATTTCTTGCCTGTCAAGAACCTGGATATTTGTCTTAGGTAGAGATAAGCAGCCAAAGTTCATGTTGGACCAGATGAACTGTAGCAGTTCAAGATGACTCATCAAGAGATTCAAAAAGACAAATAGAAAAGATCAATATATGCCGGTATTGGCAGTGATTCCCAAATCCCAAAAATGACAAAAGAGATAGCTTGGATTTTGCAGAGTTGAAACATGAATTGAATTGGTTGTCAGAGAAGGATTGTCAGTCAGGCTTGCAGTATGGCACACTTGTGTGTCTTACACATATTGACACACAGGGCCCTGTTCTTTGCAGACAGAAAGAACATGTACATGCACCATGCTTATTTTGACTCAGCAAAATAGAAGACAGCATTCATTGGTTCATTTCTCAGGACAATGTCCTGACCACTCAAAATCAACTTGCCTTGTTTAACCTTCAAAGCTTAGTGGTTAACCATTAATCATCATTAACTGGTGCATGATACATGGCAACACCTTTACTAATCAGAGTCCACTTGTCGATCAATCAGCACTCTGCTCCCATACTGTATGAATGCTGATTTTCTCCTGAACTTGTACATCGTCCTGATGAGTGCAAGATGAAAAGTTTTGACAAAATGTGTCTTTTTGAGTAATATTCATGTTCTGTATGACCAACTGATTTTGCTACAATTCTGAAACAGAGGAAACCTTTGTCCAGCATTCATATGAGTAGCTACAGCCTAAGCTACATGAGATCCACTTTTAAAAAGTTTCATAGTATATTGGACTTGCAGAACCAAGGATATGTTCTTTGGCAGTCAAGGAAATTATAGCACAGAAGCAAAGTATTTGGCTCACGGACTAAGTCTGAATAGCTCTCAAAATGTATTATCTTCTTTAATTCCATTTACATTTCTTGTTTTCTTATATAACTTTAGATCCTTCTTTCTCTGCCTTTTAACCACTAATTTTAATGCATGCCATGTTAATAATCCCTCTGTTAAACATGTTCGTTTAACTTTTTTCCATGATTCATTGCATGGTAAGTAATCCTGTTATTATTGCCTTGGAGTTACATTTGATAATATTGCCAAATTAAGTTTAAAACATTAAACCATTTTTTCTTTGATATCTTGAACTGGTTATTAACCTTTTTAATATAAAACAATAGATAGTATTATGTCATGAATTCAGAAGATGAGGACTGAGAGTAAAAGGTAAATTCAAAAGTAGTAACTGAAACGTCAAGGGTGTAGAACAAAGTAGTGATTTGGGTAAAAATAACCTCAGTTAGTCAAAGAAAGAACAGGCAGCATAACAAAGATAATGCAATAATAATATCTAAGGTGACATCAGGAAAAATAAGACATCAAAACTGAAGGCATTATATCTGAAAGTGCACAACAGACAAATAAATGGGATTAATTTAACAGCCATTATGAAAATGTGGTTCCAAAGTGACCAAGGTCAGAAACTAAATATTCCAGGATATTTCACTTTTAGAAAAGATGGAAAAAAAATGGAAAATGAGGACAGGTTGCCTTGATAATAAAGGATGGGATAAAGGTGGTATAGAGTACATGTATTAGCTGATAAAATCCAGATGTAAAACCAGTTAGAGTGGAGGCAGTTTATAGATCCCCAAAAGTAGCTGTAGTGTATGGCAGAATATAAAAGAAGAAATTAGAAGTGTATGTAACTTGAGTAATATAGTTATGCTGGGGACTTTAATCTGCATGTAGACTTTATAAACAAATTTTCAGTAATAGTGAGGAAGATAAGTTTATGAAATGCATTTAAGATAATTTTGTAGTTCAGAACATCCAAATACAACTAAGAAATACACTATTTTATCTCCAATATTTGCTTTTCATACACATGTAATTTGTTTTCTTCTTCAGATTTAACATCCTAGTACTTTACATAAATAAATCAACCTCAAACTTAATATAGAATTTATATTATGATCGCTCTTCCCAGCTAATCACGTCTCATTGTTGAACATTATGTTTTGGTACCTACCAATTCCAGTTAAATTGTAAGCTGTGTTTTTGCTAAATGGTGATACTACACCGTTTGTTCACCTCGTGGGCACTTAGTGCCAAAGAAATACTATTGAAATGACAGAAATTACCAGAAGTTAACAAAGAAAAGAACAGAAGATAAAGTCATTCAAGTTTGTGTTGCAGGGCATGTCAGTACTTCTCCCAAAATCCTTGCCCATGTATTGCTGAAGCAGGCTGCAAATCTTTGCTTTATATCTGTCTGTGGCATGACTTCCATTACATCATGAAGGCCTTTTCTCTTTCCCATCAAAGAACTTATGAAGAAACTTACCTTGTGTTCCTCTTCCTAACTCTTCATTCTTACTGACTGAAGGATTTCGAACTATGAATGGCACTCTGGGTCCAGGTTCCTCATTCTGCTCTGCAATGTTCATTTTCTACCTGGAATAAATAACTCTACGGTTAAAAACAAATGAATCAAATGTGTGTTATTTAACAGCTAGTAGAGTTATCTGCATTTCCCACTAACAAAGTTATACATTCAGTCACTCTGCCCTTAAATAAACACCTTAGATTTTATCAGCTTCCTGAAACTAATTCATTCAACAGCTAATTTTGCCTAAGAATTAAGTACACCCTTTCAGCCTCTCTTACAAAACTTTTTAATCTGCCAAAGTGAATTATAAATGTCTGAGAAAGAAATGAACCATATACAGCTCCATTTTTGTTTTCCAGACAAAGTGTTATGTTAACTTTTTAAGAAAAAACAGCTACTGTTTCATTATGTTGCAAAATATACTGATTTCATTTTCTCCACATGAACTAAATTAAATTGTAAACATTCAGGAAATAGCTGCTGCTGTCCGAGCTCCCTCTGCTCACACCGTAGTTATTCCAATAAATTTTTTGAAAATGCACTTTTATGCTTTCAAATTCACAGTTGACAGAAATAGATTTAATGCAGCTTAATCTGAGGTCGTGTAGTTGGCTTCCACAATTTATTGTCACAAAGTAAAAGAAACAACTGCATTAAAAAGGTGGAAAGACCCAATCTGAGAAGGAACATTAATAATTCGGAGAAACTTTTATTTTGACGCTGAAAACATATGACATTTGATGTGATGCAGCGTGGTCTTATCTATTTGATGTGAAGTGGTGAGATTTATACATAGAAGAGATTTGGTGGGGTGGGGGGCGGGGATAGCCCAATGAAATTGAGTACAATTTGCCTACAGTAAATCTGAGCCGAACTGGAGTTGAGTGAATTTGCCATGTGCCTGACACGGGGGAGGGGGGCGATAATCCTATGAGGGCGCTGTGTCTTCACCCGGCAAAAAAAAACCCAGAGACATAACTCAGCGTGGAACACAAAAAAAAACCCATTCCACTTCCTTATTGCCTGAAAATTCACTGCCTCCTGAGCTTGGAAAGGGGGTGAGATTGCACGTTGCTTCGGAATCACCAACAATTTCTTACAAACTTGCGAGAGAGAGAGAGGAGGGGGTGCAATTGCAAAGCAGTTGAGCTCAGCGCTGGGGTTGGTTAAAGGGCACGTATAGCAGTAACGCCATGACCCTGCTCTCAGAGGCAGTGTTTGTCCTTGCTTAGGGATAAAGATCACTGCAGATAAGAGCCTTTTCTTTAAAAAAAACACAAATCTCTCTCCTGTGTGTGTCACATTCCCTCCCCTACCCTCCTCCCAGCTCTCCTTCGCTCTCTGAGTTGCTGCCTTGTGTTGCAGAGCGCAGCGGGGGCCGCTTTGAGCCTTACCTGGCCGCTCCGGCTGAGTCAAGCGGAGCTACCTCAGCCCCGCGCCCACTCTCTCCGCTCCCTCCCCGGCCGCCTGTGGAAAATGGAGCCGTGTTTTTTTTCTGTTACTCCGGGTGTCTGCTCCGTGACGTGATTCTGTGTCATTTCCGCAGCCAGGCGAGAGGGAGAGAAGAAAGGAAGGAGAGAAACACGAGAGAAGGGAAACGCGAAAAGGACACACACAGAGAGAGGGAGAGAGAGAGAAGGAGAGGGAGAAACATCAGAGACAGAGAGAAAAGACAAGGGACAGAGAGAGGAGGGCTGAGAAAAATGACCAGGGGGAAGAAAAGAGACCAGTGAAGGGAAATGAGAAACACGGGAGGGCAGAGACAGACTGGCAGGCAGGAAAGAGAAACGCCGAAAGAGCAGCAAGAGAAGGAAGGAAAACTCCGGCGAAGAGAGAGAGGGAAAACAACAAAACACGAGAGAATGAGGGTAGGAGGCTGGTAAAGGAGTGAGGGAGAGAGGTTGAAAACTTTTGGGGAGAAATGGGTTGGGGAATCACCATAGGCTATAAGATATGGGAGAATTAGGCCATGCAGCCCATCAAGTGTGGTCTGCCATTAGATCGTGGCTGATATGTTTCTCAACCCCATTCTCCTATTTTCTCTGTGTAATCCGTGATCCCCTCACAAATCAAGAATCTATCTCTGTCCTAAATATGCTCAATGACTTGGCCTCCACAGCGTTCTGCAGCAATAAGTTACACAGATTCACCACCCTCTGGCTGAAGAAATTCCTCCTCATCTCAGTTCTGAAGGGTCACCCCTTCACTCTGAGGCTGTGCCCTTGGGTCCTTGTCTCTCCTATGAGTGGAAACATATCCATGTCCACGCTGTCCATGCCTCTCAGTATTCGTAAGTTTCCACAAGACCCTCCTCATCCGGACGTATCGGAACTGACAACAAAACTCCTAGGACCACTAGGAATCATGGTGGCCCACAAGCCCACAGCCACTCTTCGACAAACACTTACAAGGATTAAAGACCCCATTCCCACAACATGCAGAACCAACGTGGTTTACAAAATACCATGCAACGTCATAAACATTACATCGGACAGACGGGAAGGAAACTAGCCATCAGAATACACAAACATCAGCTGTCAGCAAAACAGCACGATGAACTCTCCTTAATATCTGTACACTCAGACAATGAAGGCCATCAGTTTAACTGGGACAAGGTAACCATAGTAGCCAAAACCAAACATAGACACGCACAGGAATTCCTAGTGGCATGGTTCTCAACCCATTCTTCAATCAACAAACATATAGAATTGGACCCCATATACAAACCCATACAGATCAAAGCCGGAAATGACAGTACTTACCATAATGGATCGGACAGTATAAATTCCAAGCAGTATAAACACCGCTTCATCGGAGGCTCCACTGATGATGTCACCTAGAATGGTGACGAAACGTCTGAACAAAAACAAGCCAGCTCGGCAAGCAAGTCAATAACCTCACCCTCCTCATCCTTCTAAACTCCGAGTACGGACCCAGAGTCCTTAACCGCTTCTCATTTGAGAAACCCTTCATCCCCAGGGTCATTCTTTTAAACCTCCTCTGGGCTCTCTCAAAAGCCAGCACATCCTTTCTTAGATATGGGGCCCAAAATTGCTCATAATATTTCAAATGTCGTCTGACCAGAGCCTTATATAGAGCCTCAGTAGTACACCTCTGGTCTTGCAATCTAGCCCACTTGAAATAAATGCTAACATTGTATCTGCTTTCTTAACCGCCAACTGAATCTGCATGTTAACCTTAAGAGAATCCTCAACTAGGACTGCTAAGTCCCTTTGTACTTCAGATCTACAAAGCCTTTCCCATGTAGAAAATAGTCTACTCCTCTCTTCTTCCTCCCTAAGTACATAACCTAATACTTTCCCACATTGTGTTCCATCTGCCACTTCTTTGCCCACTCTCATTGCCTATCCAAGTCCTTCTGCAGCGTCTCCAATTCCTCAACACTACTTGTTCTTTCACCTTTCTTTGCGTCACCTGCAAACTTAGTAATAATGCCCTCATTCCATCGTCCAGATTGTTAATGTATAACTTGTGTACCGAACATTGATTGCTGAGGAACTCCACTAGTCACTGACTGCCATTCTGAAAAAGACGCCTATACAGTAGTTCTCCTTTAACGCAATAACGTTCTTGAGTGACCTCATGTTATAGAAAATTGTGTTACAGGGAAATCGCTATAGAAAATTGCTATACGTGTACAGCAGAAAGTTTGTGATATCCAAACAGCCTCCATCAATCACGTTACAGCCAATTTGTGTTAACAAAACACGCGTTATAACAAAACTACCTGTATCACACTCTGTCCACCCTTGAGCGACTGTCTGTGTGGAGTTCATGCATTCTTCCCGTGTCTGTGTGGGTTTCTTCCTGCAGTCCAAAGATGTGCTGCCTCACAGTGCCAGAGACCCGGGTTCAATTCCACTCTCGGGCAACTGTCTGTGTGGAGTTTGCACATTCTCCCCGTGTCTGCGTGGGTTTCCTCCAGGTGCTCCAGTTTCCTCCCGCAGTCCAAAGATGTGCAGGCTAGGTAGATTAGTCATGCTAAATTGCCCATAGTGCTCAGGGATGTGTAGATTAGGTAGGTTATAGAGGGATGGGTTTGGGTGGGTGCTCTGAGGGTCGGTGTGGACTTGTTGGACCAAAGGGCCTGTTTCTATAGTATAGGGATTCTATGATCTATAATCTATGTGCAGGTTAGGTGGATTGGCCTTAGTAAATTGCCCATAATGTCCAGGGTCGTGTAGGCTGGGTGGATTAGCCATGGGAAATGCATGGTTACAGGGATAGCATGGGGGATTGGATCTGGATGGGGTGCTCTTTGGAGGGTTGGTATCGACTCAATGGGTCAAATGGCCTGCTTCCACATTGTAGAGATTCTATGATTCTGTCAGTCAGCCAACCCTCTATCCATGCCAGTACTTGTCCCCAACACCATGGGCTCTTATTTAGTATCCTCTTCTGTGGCACCTGGTCACCCGCCTTCTGGAAATCCAAATAGATCACATCGATGGGCTTCCCTCTGTCTAACTTGCTCGTTATCTAATGGGCTAAAGGAGGGTGGGGGTGGATAGGAGAAAAAAGGAATGGGGAGAGAAGGGTGCGAGAGAAAAAGGAATAAGGGTCCAAGGGTCAACATGAGTGGTGAGCACAAAGGGTGAGAAGGGGGAGAGGAAGGCAAGGGAGTGGGGAACAGAGCAAGAAAAAGGAATTGGGCGGTGGAGGGAGGGAGTAAGAAGTGAGCACAGAGAAAGGAGCAACACAGGCTTAGCGGCCAGCAGTGGCCAGAATCATTACTTTTATAATTTCACTCTTAGGCGTGAAAAAACGAAGCACAAAGCAGCTTAAAACCAGATTGCTCGCCGGGAGTAAGAGCAGTGCAGATTGGGTACTGCAGCAAGTGGCTGTTCCTATAATAAAACCTGGGCTCAGTTCAGCTGTTGATCTGACTTTGCCATCACTCTGACCCGGGGCCTCCTGAACACAACGTTTTGTTCCTGGTTTGTTTTTTTTTAGAAAAGGATAACGACGGGGGATGAGAGAGGAGACAAAGTTGGCAAGAGGGGAGGAAACAAACAGCGGAGAGATCCTTCGATTGGTTTGACCTGCAAATGAAGGCGAGAGGCTGAAATGTGCAGGAGAACGGAGGTGAGGGTACACTGGGTTCGAAGCCGCCAAGTATTCACAGCATTGGGAGTGTAAATGTGGAAACGAGAGCACAGAGAGAGTAATGCTGTGGGAGGAGGCAGTGACAGTCACGGATATACTTACACTTCCTTTTCACTCTGAGCTGGGTATAGTTCCCGGAGTGAGAGTAAAGCGGTGCTATATCCTGGATCTATCTATGGATTCACGCTCAGCATTCATTTGCTCAAACATCCAGGAAAAGTTGGCTAGCTACAACAGGAGATTTTCTTTTGAAAAAAAAGTTAATTTGATCTATTTAAACCCCTGACTTGTCACTTCTTCATTAATTGTATCAACAACGATGAACCAGAACACATATTTTACTCAGACAACCCAGTGTGGAGCTGGAGGAACACAGCAGATCAGGCAACATCAGAGGAGCAGGAAAAATGAGGTTTCGGTCAACTTTCCTGCTCTTCCGATGCTGCCTGGCCTGCTGTGTTCCTCCAGCTCCACACTGTTGTCTCTGACTCCAGCATCGGCAGTTCTAGCTGTCTCTGACATCTTTTACTCGTATTTTTTTTGTTCTTGTTGGTGTACTGGGTGAATCCGCCGTCTGTATGTTGTTAAACTGCACAGAACACAGGGCCAGTACCTCTCAAGGTTTGGGGGCGGGTTCTTAAATGGTGCGTGAACGGATAGGATTTACCTCAGCTTTGCTGTCTTCCGTGAGGGAAATTGCTCCTTGCCTCGGATCGTTTAGACCCGCAGATGTTCAACGGGCAATTGATGAGGAACCAGAGAGGCAGATGTCCATCGAAATGTAACAGTGCCTGGTTACAGGGGGTGCTGGTAACTGTGGAGATAGGAGAATTCTAAAAGTCTGACCCCATTTCAAAATATTCCAGCCACCAGAAATTAAAGCAGAAAAAAACACTTTGCACCTCGTTGTATAACTGAACAGTTTTAGTTGAACATTTGCTCACCTAGCACATAGCTCCTATCAGCTGCACAACTATGTCACATAAATAAGATTAGAAATGGAAATAAAGTCTTGCCTTCCCAAGCACAAGATTGATCTCTGTGATGGCTGACCTCAAATTTCCCTTGATTCAAAATTCAGGTGCAATCTGCATTGGTGGTAATGTTTTCTACCTACTCTCCCAACAACTTCAACTGATATCACAAAAATATCTAAAATATTCAGAAATTCAGCAGTGGCATGTGCACAGATGTCAGAGGAAACATGGGTGTGTAAAGGTTATTGTGGTCTATTTAACTACTTTCAGTGCAGCCAACAGTGCAATACTGATATAAACAACTTGCATTGGCTTCTTTACAAACCTTCATCACAAACACCACAATGCCAAATCTATCTCAACCACAATGAGCCATTGGAGTCATTATTCTGTTCTAGATCTTAGATAGCTGGGTTTAAATCACTGCACTAAAGGCAGTCTGATGCATTTGTCAATGTGTAATGGCTGTATCTGACATGACATGTCTCCACTATGATGTATTCTTTGGCAATGACGTAGCCTCTTGATACCTATTATCTAGGCTCATTTACAACTAAAAGCCTCCTAGACAATGCTTGTGGAATTGTAGTCAAACACCTTTAGAGAATACTTGACTGGAAAATGGAGGAGAATGTCCTTTTTGAAATTATGTTTCCATTCCTCTTTCATTTCTTACACCAGGCATCATTTTGGCTGAGTCTTGTCAACTCAAAAGACAATAAGACATAGAAGCATAGAGTCATAGAGTTATGTGGCACAGAAACAGCCCCTTTGGTCCAGGAGATAGTAAGGACTGCAGAAGATGGTCCAACTTGTCTTTGCCGACCAGATATCCTAAAATGATCTAGACCCATTTGCCAGCATTTAACCCATATCTCTCTAAACTCTTCCTATTCATGTACCCATCCAGATATCTTTTAAATGCTATCATTGTACCTGCCTCTACCACGTCCTCTGGCAATTTGTTCCATATACACACCACCCTCTGTGTGAAAAAGTTGCCCCTTAAACCTTAAACCTAAACCCTCTAGATTTGGACTACCATACCCTGGGAAAAAAGACCTTGGTTATCACCCTATCCATGACCCTCCATGCACCATGATTTATAAACCTCTAGAAGGTCACCCCTCAGGCTCCAACCCCAGGGAAAAAAGCCCCAGACTATTAATCCTCTCCCTTTGGCTCAAACCCTCCAATCCTGACAACATTCTTTTGAGGTTTTCTGAACCCTTTCAAGTTTAACAACATCTTTCCTGTAGCAGGGAGACCAGAATTGAATGCAGTGGCCTAAACAATGTCCTGTGCAGCCACAACATGATGTCCCAACTCCTATACTCAATGCACTAACCAATGAAGGCAAGCATGCCAAATGCCTTCTTCACCACTCTGTCTGCCTGTGACTCCACTTTCCAGGAACTATGCACCTGCACCCTTAGGTTTCTTTGTTCGGCAAAGCTTCCCAGGCCCCACCATTAACTGTATAAGACCTATTTGGATTTGCCTTACCAAAATATAACACCTCACATTTATCTAAATTAAACTCCATCTGCCATTCCTTGATCCATTGGCCCATCTGATCAAGGTCCCATTGTACACTGAGATAACCTTCTTCACTGTCCACTACATCTCCAATTTTGGCGTGATCTGCAAACAGAGAGGAAGATGTTCATCAAAATATGACACTGCCTGTTTACAGGGGGTGCTGATAACTGAGGAGATAGGAGAATTCTAAAAAGTCTGACCCCATTTCAAAATATTCCAGCCACGTATTCTATGCCCACATCCAAATCATTTATATAAATGAGCAGTTGTAGAATACTCAGCTCATTAAATCAGCTCTGTAATTCAATGTGATCATGTGATCTGATAATCCTCAATTCCACTTTTCTGCCTTTTCCCCATAGCCCTTGATTCCCTTACTGATGAGAAATTTGTCTTTCTTAGCCTTGAATATACTTAATGCCTCAACAGCCCTGTAGGGTAAAGAATTCCACAGATTCACTACCGTCTGAAAGAAAAAAAATCCTCTTCTCTGTCTTAGATGTGTGACGCCCCCCTCACTGAGGTTATGCTCTCTGGTTCCAGACTCTCGAATAGAGGGAAACAACCTCTCTGCATCTATTTATTTTTCTGAAAAAGGGTCCTGACCCGAAACATCAATTTTCCTGCTCCTCTGATGCTGTCTGGACTGCTGTGTTCCTCTAGCTCCACACTTTGTTATCTCCGACTCCAGCATCTGCAGTTTTTGCTATCTCTCTGCATCTACCCTGTCAAGCCCCTAAGGATCCTATAGTAAGGTCTCCTGTCATTTTTCCAAACTGTAGTGAGTACAAGCCCAATGCACTGATCATCTTGACATAAGGATATCCTTCCATGCCCAGAATCAACCTAGTGAACCCTGTCTGAACCACCTCTATTTCTTTCCTTAGATAAGGGAATCAGAATTGTTCACAGTATTCCAGTGTGGTCTAACTAGTGCCTTGCATAGATTGGTAGACAACTTTAGTTTTATTTACACTACTCCCTTTGAAATAACTAATTTTAGATAGTTTCTTTTGATCATTTGATCATTCAGAACTGGATTGGGGCTATTCATATTTGCTTGGCGTACTGATCTTAAATTTTGAGTAAATTTTAGATAAATCTTAGTTCAATCCTTGATTAGACTTCCTATTACTGGGTTAATGGGTTAACTTTTATATGATAATCACTCAGGGAGATGTTAGATAACTGAAACTGGTTACAAAAGCACAATTTAAAATTATAGCTGGGTGCAGAAATCGTGTGCCTGAAAATGAAAGTAACAGTTTGAATAGCAAATCAGATGGATGGTTACTTAACAAAATTAATAGGTGAGGTTTCATTGACAATGGATCATTCTGTCAACATTAACTAATGGTGAATATTAAGTATAACAGGAATAAGAGTTTATAATATTATTGCTGGTAAGATTATTTTTGGGTTAAATGTCCAGATAGCTAACAGCACTTTTGATAGACAGTTTATCCTTGAAGAAGAGACAAGAGGAAATTTGTTAGATCATGAGGGATCTGAACAAAACAGAGAGAAACTGTTCCCATCAGCAGAAGAATCGAGAACCAGATGGTACTGATTTAAGGTGTTTTGTAGAAGAGGCAACAGTGACAAATGGAAATCATCTTTATGCAACGAGTGTTGGGATTTGGAATGTACTTCCTGAGAATGTGGCGGAAGCAGTTACAGTCATGGCTTTCAAAACACAATTGAACCGCTGCTTGAAGAGAACAGATTTGATGGACTATGCAGAATACACTGGGGGATTTGGTAAACTGTTCTTGGAGAGAGTTAAAGGTAAAGGTGAAAAGTAAAGTTGCCACAGTTATACCAAACAGTAGGGCTGCTTTCTAATTAGAGAGAGATGACTGGTTGTGGTTTAACCTGAGGGTCACCACACCTCAGGCAAGAGGAGACCTTGGGAAGGAGAAACCTCAGCTGGTGCAGTTGGCATCAATCTGTATCACAAACCAACTATCCAAGCTAACCAGATAACATACATAGATGCAATGGTCTCCTTCCATGGGGTAACCATTCATTATCATTGGGCTACTTGAGGTTTGCAATTTCATGGCACATAGGAGCATTTATGATGAAAACAGTTGAGTCAATCTCCTTCCATTTTTTTATTCTTTCCTGGGCTGTGACACCACTAGCTAGGCTAAGATTTTCTGCCCATCCCTATTTGCCTTTTAGAAAATATAGTGAGACACATTCTTGATTTGCAGCAGCCCATGTCATGTATGGACATCTACAGTGTTTTTAGGCAGGGATTTTCAGGATTTTGACCCTGTGACAGTAAAGGAATGGTGATATGGTTCCAAATCAGGAGATTAAATGGCTTGGAGGGTACTCCAAGGCATTTGCTGTCTTTGTCCATCTACTTGATTGAGGTTACAGATTTCAAAGGTGCTATCAAAGGAATCTGAGTGAGTTGATGCAGTGCAACTTGTAAATGCTACACACTTCTGCTGTTGTGCAGTGATGGTGAAAGGAGAGAATTCTTAACA